TCCCTGCGCTGCTTGCGCTACTTGCGCCGCTCGCACTCACTGCGCTCCCTGCGCTATCTGCGCTGCTTGCGCCGCTCGCACTCACTGCGCTCCCTGCGCTATCTGCGCTGCTTGCGCCGCTCGCACTCACTGCGCTCCCTGCGCTATCTGCGCTGCTTGCGCCGCTCGCCCCGCCCGCACTGCCTGCGCTCCCTGCGCTGCTTGCGCTACTTGCGCCGCTCGCACTCACTGCGCTCCCTGCGCTATCTGCGCTGCTTGCGCCGCTCGCACTCACTGCGCTCCCTGCGCTATCTGCGCTGCTTGCGCCGCTCGCACTCACTGCGCTATCTGCGCTGCTTGCGCTACTTGCGCCGCTCGCACTCACTGCGCCGCCTGCGCTCCTTGCGCTGTCTGCGCAGCCGCCCACATTGGTTGAGCTGCAGCGACCTCTAGAGGCTGCGGCGCAAACTGCCGCCGGCGCCGCCGGGCCGGGAGCGTTTATCCAGCGTTCCGTTCCCAGCTCCTCCAAGGATCGCTCGCCCACCACTCTGGTGGAATACCGATCTTTTTAGGATCGAAATACCATCTCCCTGCCTGCAGGTTAAAGGAGAGCTTCCATCAGAACCCTGACTTTGACAGAAAGGTGATGAAAGCGTTAGTGGAAATGTGTCAAAACCTGAGTCCAAACTTTGGAAACTTCTTGGGTTTTAATACAAAGCTTTCTAGTTCTGATACAGAATATATTCTCTTGGGAAGATAAAGGTATTTTCTTCCCCCAAGGCTCTTTAGGTACCTTAAGAAATGGTGGTTACTCATTAAAAAAAGTGGTAAGAGCCATCATCAAGAAATAAACAAACAGATAAGTAGTACAGGCAATATAATTCCAGCACGTTTAACAGCGTAGCAACGTTTCACAGGAGCTACAAGAGGCGGCACGGCTTGTAAAGCCACTTCTGTGCTGGATTTATTGCACCTGAACATGCAATCGTGTGACGAGTAAATCCTGGCGTTCTCATCCCAAAAACGAGACTGCAGCGTACAGCCACACAGGAGAAGTCACTCACGCCCCCGTTCGTCAACTCGTTGATGGATAATGACCCAACCCAACTCTGGAATCAGACCAGAAGTATAAATTGTTTTTCAATTTCAAGTGTAAATGGTCAAGCCTGGCAGTGTTCCAGGCCAGGCTGGATGAGGCTTTGGGCAACCTGGTGTGGTGGAGGGTGTCCCTGCCCATGGCAGGGGGGTTGGAACTGGATGGTCTTTGAGGTCCCTTCCAACCCAAAACATTCTGTGATTCTATGATTCTAAATCCATTATTCTCTTTTCTTCTGCCCAATTATAAACTGAAAGAAGCTGCTTCACAAAAATGACAATTCATCCTGGTTCCCAGCCCACACTCATCCCAGGAAATCCTGCAGCAAGATCACCTGTCTCTCTGCTCTCCCTCTTGCCAGCAGCGTTTTGTGGACCAAAGAGAGACTCCAGAGGCAACGGAAAAGTTCTCCCATCATGGGCCACGGTGCAGTATGATGTGTTAATAGTCAAGAAGAAGCAGACGTTCATCTAACCTCGGAACTACTCCGACCTGCCAGGCATTTTTAAGTCTCTAGGGAAGTTAAGCAAACGTGTTTGGCTTTTTGATTATTTCTGAGTTTTCTGATGAACTGTGCAAGACCCGACTCACTTCACAGACACCTTTGCCACAGGCCATCCCGACGTCCTCACTGCCCTGCGCAGCAGAGGGAAATGAGCCCGATTTCTGGCACCCTCTGCATTCTGCGCCGAAGACACTTGCCGTACGGTTTCGCTTCGACCTCGAAGCGGAGCTCTGGAAAGTCGTGTTGGCTACTTACTTTTAGCAGCCTTCTTTCTCCGAGGAAACATGCAATTGTACTTCACCTCGGCTAAAAAACCCACAGCTGCTCCGTGGTTCAGACGGATTTCCTGAGGCAGTGCTCCAGGCAAAGACAGTACTTGTTGATATACACCTTTTCCCAGTCTATCCAGTATCTGGGCAAGGGAACACTGAAATACGAGCAGAGACACTTTATCCACAACACAACGAGTTTTCAATTGCTTGGAATATAATCATTTATTTATCTTTACAGTGATGACGGAAGAATGTACGGGTGTTTTCACCCATAGGTATAAAAATCTGTTTATATACAGAGTCACAATAATCTTTAATTGGGAAATCATTCTGTTCTCCTGACCCATCCTTACCAAAAACCACAGGAAAAACAAATATTTAGTACAGGCAATATAATTCCAGTAGGTTTGCAACCTGGCATCAAAAGCTCAGCTTTAGATTAAGGATAACGTTCGATACTTAAAAAAGGACTTTGAGTCGTAGGACACAAAATAAAGTTGCTTTTCAAATAAGATATATACATCAAAAATAGGAGTCTAAAAAAGGCATTGGTTTTAATGCTATTAGAAAGCTATATAAATGTGCATGGGTCCATTTCTTCTTATAACGAAAGACCGAAGGAGAAAAGTGCCTCTGTCTTTTAGGAAGTTCCTCCTGGGACAAGTCAGTTTAAAGTACCTGCAAAAGAGAAAGAAACAACCCCTTTTGGCAAAGCAAAGGCTGATGGTTGCATCAATCAGAACGACTTTGTTGGAGCAGTTACAGCTGTGCTGCAGTTCCATATGAAGAGCACGTCATAAATAGCTCAAAAATGTTAGTACAACGTCAGTAGCTACTCATAGAATGGTTAGGGCTGGAAGGGACCTTCAAAGGTCATCTAGTCCGACCCCCCTGCAAGGAACAGGGATATCTCCAACTAGATCAGGTTGCTCAGGGCCTCGTCCAACCTGGCCTTGAACGTCTCCAGGGATGGAGCATCCACCACCTCTCTGGGCAACCTGTTCCAGTGTTCTACAACTCTCATGGTAAAAAATTTTTTCCTAATATCCAATCTGAATCTACCTCCCTCTATTTTAAAACCATTACCCCTTGTCGTATCCCAACAGGCCCTCCTGAACAGCCTCTCCCCATCTTTCTTGTAGGCCCCCTTGAGGTACTGGAAGACCGCTATAAGGTCACCCCAGAGCCTCCTCTTCTCCAGGCTGAACAGCCCCAACTCTTTCAGCCTGTAAAGTTGTTAAGAGTTACTTTTTCATTAAGCACAACCTGCAGAGGTAAACATGCATTTAACATTAAGCCTCTTCCACCACACACCCTCCTGGCACATCCCTCAAGCTTCTGCCATGCTTCATTATGGCCTTAAATCACATTCTGACTTCTTTTTTTTTTTTCTAAATACAGCATAATGTGGACATAAAAAGTTGCTTAATATAGAAATATCATGCTGGAACGTTAGTCTGTATAAAGGGGGAAAAAAATGCATCTTTCAAGCTATTTTACATTAACTAATCCACTTACTCAAAAATCTTGTTCAAGTCTATAATTGAAGTCATTAGGGGGAAAAAAAAGGCAGTTTTATAGAACACAGCCAACACACGTACATTTACATGTACACTGGCTACGTACACGTAAATAAGTAGTAAATTCACAAGTTGATGGAACTCCAACTGATTTCTGTGGAGAGCCACAGCCCCAGTGAAAAAAATAAACAGATTCATGACCCCCTTTAAAAAAAATAAATACGCTAAATTAAAAAATTCAGATTGACAATTTGATTCAAAAATAGCGAAAAGTTCGAAATTTCACGTCTTAAACCAAGGTTCTTTCTTGACTTCCTTTAAAGTTACCCATAATTAGACTTTTATAGGAGAATTGCTCAGGGATTAAGAGTTTAACAGTAAATAGCTGTAACTTCAAGTAATTAAAAGATGCCAGTAGCATGGAAAACATCAGAATTACTGGTGAACAACACTGGCAAATAGCTCTTGTCTGCAACTGAAAGATCAAATTTCCCTTTATGTTGCACTGACACTATAAGTAATAAAAATGACTTGTGCATTAGAAACGTGAGTATTCAGGGGCTGGTGGGTATATTGTAAATATATTCAGTTTCTCATTGTAAGAATTTACTCCCACCTAAGCGCTAACCTAATGTGCAGTCCAGATGCTGAGCGCAGAAGTAACATCTGGCTGCTGGGTGCACCGGGCTTATATTCTTCATACACGGGGGAGCCAAAATGCCATGGAATCACCTCTCTGTGCTATGGGTTGAATACCAGTTGGAATGTTCAGCAGCCTTGCTGAACCAGGTCACAGCCTGGAAACTTCCATCCTAGGCCTACAAGTTAATCTGAACGCAGTATTTATAGTTGTACAAAAGTTAACTCCTTTGTATCTGTCAAATAGGAGATACATATGTATTCTTTCCCCTTGTGGGTAGTAGCTCCAGAACAACAACAACAAAAAGAAATTAACTCCTTTAAAATTACACAACCATCTCCAGACAGAATTCCTAGTCGTTACAACTTCTGCTAACTCCGTATGAAAAGGTCAGGTCTCAAAGCTGGGCACTTTCATAAATGAGCACTATGAGCTCAATGGAAATATGAGAACTAATCACCCTTCTCCTGCAGATGATGAAACAAAAGGATTTTTTTTACAAAAGTGTCTGGCAAATCAACAGATTAGTACTGTACACAGGTACGAGATGCAAGAAGATGCCTTGGGAAAAAAAAAAAAAAAATCAATCTGCAGAGGTACTATCCATGTAAAAAATAAATAGAGAAGTTTCAGGAACTGATTATGCAATTTTACTAAATTAAATTTTGAAGAAGAGAAAAAGGCCAGTTACTCTGATTGCTTCACACCGAGCATTAAGTGCTAGAAAACACATCTGCAATGGTTTCTAGAGATGGAGTCTTTGCCATGAAGCATGAAACCCATTGTTTTTTCCTCCCTGGTGATCTGTGTAGCATTAAGTGTCAGGATGGTCACGTCTATCACCCCGGGGTTCTGCTGATACAGTGCACGTGGGGCAAGCAGGACCACTTGTGTGGGTTACACTACCGGCCACCGAGTGATCGCCAGCAGCTGAGCCAGGTAAATCCCAGACTTTGTCCCCAGGAGATCTGACTCACCTGATTTCTTTTTATGCTTCATCTCCATTATCCATTTCCACATCTATATCTTTTGTTGTATCAGCCGCTCGTGACAAAATATCTGCCATTAGTGCTTCCTCCAGTTTTTTACGCACTTGCTGCACCCGCTCTTCTTGTTTTCTGAAGGGAGAGAAGGGAAGAAGGGGCAGAAACGTTCATCTTTCAAGCATACTGGTAGGCTGGGAGCATACTACTTGCATAAGCAATGACTCGGGACTGGTTTCTCAACTCTTATTTTAGCTTAGAAAAGAATACAATAGAATAGTTCCAGTCGGAAGGGACCGACAACGATGATCTAGTCCAACTGCCTGACCCATCCAGGGCTTACTAAAAGTTAAGGAATCATAGAATCATAGAATGGTCAGGGCTGGAAGGGACCTTCAAAGGTCATCTAGTCCAAACCCCCTGCAAGGAACAGGGATATCTCCAACTAGATCAGGTTGCTCAGGGCCTCGTCCAACCTGGCCTTGAACGTCTCCAGGGATGGAGCATCCACCACCTCTCTGGCAACCTGTTCCAGTGTTCTACAACTCTCATGGTAAAAAATTTTTTCCTAATATCCAATCTGAATCTACCTCCCTCCATTTTAAAACCATTACCCCTTGTCCTATCACAACAGGGCCTCCTGAACAGCCTCTCCCCATCTTTCCTGTAGGCCCCCTTGAGGTACTGGAAGACCGCTATAAGGTCACCCCGGAGCCTCCTCTTCTCCAGGCTGAACAGCCCCAACTCTTTCAGCCTGTCCTCATAGGAAAGGTGCTCCAGCCCTCTTATCATCTTCGTGGCCCTCCTCTGGACCCTCTCCAACTGGTCCATGTCCTTCTTGTGTTGGGGGCTCCAGAACTGGACGCAGTACTCCAGGGGAGGTCTCACAAGGGCAGAGTAGAGGGGGAGAAAATGGGAATGTTAGTAAGGGCATTGTCCCAATGCCTTTGAAACACTGAGAGGCTTGTGGCTTGGGTTGTAACTCCTGTGCAGGCACACAGGCAGTGCCTGGCACTAAAACCGAGAGCGCTCGGAGCTGGAAACCTCTCCGGTTTAGAGCACGCCGTTTACTTTCCCTTATACGGAGACAGAAGGATTGAATGTGACAGGAGATTGTCCAGTCTCAGATTAGATCCTTAAAAAGACCAACGAGAAAGTGAATGGAGCAGTATCCCACTGGACTATCTTCGTCAGACTGTTTTGGTTTTTTTTTAGCAGAGGAATTTTTGGGTAGATCACTGAAAATCCTAGCAGGAGATTCCCATCATGAGGATTGTAAAGGAGATCCGAGGCAACCTCCCACTTTCCCAGCATAAAGGAGCACCTCTACAGGATGGTGGGACGCTGAGTAGGTTTCTTAGTGCTCAAAGAACCAACTTCAAGGCCCACACAGTCGCATGTCCAGCAGAAGAACCCCAAGGAGCTTCACTGTTCCCATTTATTTATTTCATTGCTCCTACCAATCGATTCAGTCTTAACGAGTCAGTGATGCCTTTAAGATGGCAGCAACCCCTGCTGAAACAAAGGTTTCTTTCCCTGGGGGAAGTTAATTCAAAAATACTGCCTCAGATATCAACACACGTTTAAGATATTTTGATTCCATTGTTTAATTTGGAAGGTAAAATTTAGCTTTCAAACAACACCAGAAAAAAAGTCCTCTTTTGAAGTTTTCCCAAGAGAATACACATTTTGCATCAGACCCAGAGTTGGGTTTTGTTTTTTTTTTTTTAACATGAAAATCCACTTGTTCTATCGAGCTATGTTTTCCAAAAGAGAAAAACCTTTAAACAAAACATACACTTAAAAATGGCCAGAACCCATCAGAAGCAGGCACAGGAAAACATTCCTTAGTGCTGCAAACTCCCCGTGGCTACTTCGGATGGTGGGACAGATACAAAGAACATCAAATCTTAGGAGAGCAGGAGTGATACCCAACATGCTCCACAGAAGCCAGAAGCCTCTGAGGAGCACCAGCCTCAAAAGCTATTCTGGTCTACGGCTGCAACCACTACCAGCACTCTCTGAGTACTTCAGAGGAGGCTGACTGCTTACACAGACAGCAAAAGGAAGGAAAAAAAAAAAAAAGAACAAGCTAGCAGTTCAGTAAAGAACCTGTTTTCTATCTTCCAGCTGTTTTCTATCCTTGTTTTTTATCTCCAATATACAGCTTACAGTCTCAGAGCTGTTAACTTTCAATGCCTGGAGAGTAATGTTTCAAAGCCCGGGGCAGAGAACGGAACGAAAACAAAGATGCTTTATCTTTTGCAGAACCTGTGTGTCAAAGGAGAAAGAAAAAGCTCGAGTAGCAAATTCAGTGTTTGTTAATTGAATTAAAATGGTCCCAAGAGCACACACATAAGCTGAAATAAGAGTTTTTTTTAAAAAAATCAGTAATAAAAAAGTTGTCGCCGTCTCACTGTTGGAATACACCGTGAACTGGCCAAAGATTATGGAAAATAAATAGTTGAAGAATATTTTATTTTTCCTCTTTTCGGCTTCAGAATTTTGACTTTAAGACAGGAGGATCTTTCCACCATCCACAGCCTACGAATTCCATCACAACAGGCTTCAGACCACAGCCAATAGCCATTCACACCAGCAGATGCCTTCCCTAAAGTCCTGGTGCTTCCTTACTCGGCTCTAAGCTAGGCTATAATGATAAAAATGAACATTTAATAACAGCATTTTTCAAAAAGCATCTGAATGACCAAATCAGAGAGAAGAAAGCTGCTGGAATATCTTTATAGACCTTCTGTTGGCACAGAAAGAAAATCCCAATTAACTAAAGCACAGTAAGGACACTTCCCTACTCCTACCAAGGAAGCGTCAAGAATGAAATGTAAATGTTCCTTGAACATGGTCGCTGGGTGTTTTAAGTGTATCCCCTAAAAAAGTCCTGAAATATCACATATCCAGTGGAGATATGGGAAATCCTCAATCCTCCCTCTGTGAAAAAAAGTGACAGGGCATTTAGAGAGCCCTGCCCACACTCAGCACCCTGAATGAAGCCAGGAACAACTGAGCTTTCCCCAGTTATCTCCTTTCCATATTTTCAGCCAGCTAGCTGATCTCCCAGGGAGCAATAACCAAAAAATAATTCACAGCACTCCCAAACCTGAAGAGTCTGGTCTTCTAGCAGAGTTGTCCAGTATTAAAAACACAGCAACATAGCTCTTTTCAGCCTTCCTCCCAGCAAGACCCAATCCTCATCCTTTAGCTCAAGCACAAATTAAAGACAAGTTACTCCTAACACAGAAGTCCAGAGGGCCCTAATTCCAACTCTGACCTTATTTTCCGTGGAAAACTGCTTTCTACAGCAGGATTGTGCAGAGCACTGCATTCAGACGATTTCCTCAGTGCTTTTAATGATTTTATTTGCCCTCACTACTCGCACTCTTCTCAGCCCATACAACCAGGTGATGTGTGCATGCTTTAAAAGCCATGTGTGATTCCACACTGCTGCATGCAATCAAACCACGGCACTGCGCCAACCACCCTTCTGATGTCTCCATCTATTTTTCCATATTGTTAAATCTACTGTGGCTCCATTTTCCCTATGTGCTGGCACTGCAATATCTCTGTCATCAAACAAAAAAACTGCACACAGCTCTAGGAACAGCATTTAGCTGCTGCAGAAACACAAAGGTATTTTTACATTTAGGATGAGTGTCAGGTTAGATGGGAAAAAATCCACAGAACCAACTTGCTCATGTCTGAACACCAGTTTCACCTCCCTATATGTCAGGAGGAAGGTACTGGCCTTTGCCCCTGCTCTTCCAGCACAATCAAATATAGTATTTTTTGGAGACACTCTAATGGAGGACCATCACCATAAGTGCTTATAGTAACATTTACTCTGTTTCTATGAAAAACATACTCTAGAGCTTTTCAGCAGCAGGGATTCCAGGTGTCTTCCACTAAGCAGATCTGAGATGCGCTGCTGAAAGGAGAATTAATTACTAGTACGTTGACTATATTTGCTGTATCACGCTAAATTCAAGTTCAGGGGCATCTGCTAATTCCCCCACACATAAACCTCTCCAACACATCATTTCTATCTCTTTCCCATCTCCTCCTCCCCTCTCAGCAGAAATTGGCCACTGCTGAGACAGCATACTGCAAATGGTAATTACAGAAATTCCCAGGTGCTGTGCTTCCCTGACACGCTCAGTAGTAAACTCACCTTTAGATCTGGGGTCAGAAAGTTTGTCTCGTAGCCAAGACTGATAGGGATTATTTAGGGTTTTGCCTCCCTACAACACATGTCACTTTACCTTACAAGTTTCTTATTGCTGAGGAGAGCTCAGACTGTGGAAACATTCTCCATCTCTCATTATCTTCCTTTGGCACATTATGGCTCTTGTGGCTTTGGTCTGTCATACTGAAAGTGAGATTTGTGTAGGGTGTTGAGGAATGCTGTGAGGCACTAAGCTACAGCTGGCTAATTTGGATCAAGGTTCATATATTTTAAGATTCAGACATCCCTAAACCCACGCCAAACAAACCTAGGGAGCGTTGAACTTGAATTACTTTCTGTTCCTGTCCCATGGTAAATACAGCTCAGTTTTTGGACAGATTAACAGGTACTTTTTCTCACCCACTACTGTGACACAGCCAGACATATCACATTAATTGTTATGCTTAGGTAGATTTGACAGGTTGTGGCTACCCACAAGAAAACGCAGAAGCAGAAATCATGCTATTTGAAAAGGGTAATTGTCAAGATAACCGAGAAAGCTCAGGAACGAAACCTACTGGGTGATGCTAAGTGCTCAGCAAAGAACCTAGACTGAGCAAGAGAAAGGGCTGTTCAAACTGAAAGGTGGGATTGTCAGAAACGACTTACATGCTTCAGGAAAAGAAATCCCCTGAAAACTATAAGCTTTAGAATAATCCCACTAAAGAGCCATCGGAAAAGAACGATAGACCGGTCTACGAAGCAGAACAGAGCTGCGAGTCAAAAATGGATTTGATCATGTATTGCAAAACTTCATCCACCCAACTAGAAGAAACAATCCACCTGTTTGTTATTTTCAGAAGTTCATCCCCACAGGGAGAATCTGGTTCAAGCATTTATCTAGCAGAGACACACAGGTTGTCAGAAATGGAGGCAACTCAACAGTGCAGCCAAAAAGTGGAACTAGATGCTGGTCAGGAAAGAAGCTACAAACAGGCTGCAAAGCAGCAGTCTCAAGGATAAGCACGGTTGTTGCTTAACCAGGCACTTATAGGAGGTTATTTAATGTTCTTCCATAAAATGGGAAACGTTTAATGCTTTCTGTGCTGAACCAAACCAGGAAATTTTGCATTTTACTCTGACGATGAAAGAGATTTATCACCATTACACGATCAGGAATACTTCAAGTCAAACAGGAGCCAAGCTGACAGCTACTTTATGAGATGTAATCAACTGCTAGGATCTCCCTGAAGAGAATATATGCTGGCACCTGACCACATAGCCCCAATGGCAAACTTTTCCTTACCAGGAAGTAAGTTCAGGAAGCAATTGTACTGCTCTCCTTAGTGATAACAGGTGCCGTATTCTGATACTGCTCCTTCATGCAATGTGTTTTCTGGATGGTCTTAAAACGAAAGCAGCTTCACACTAACAATATGAAAAGGTAACTTCTAGGAATATTTAATCCTTTTGTAGTGAGCTGCCTACGAAGGCATGAACCAGAAGAGACCTCGAACTGGCAGAATAGAGTGGCTCCAGTTGAGAATCCGTATCCTTCCCGAGTTGCCAGTACTGCCTGACATCAAATTCAGAACCTGCTTTGTAAAAACAACTGAATGACTGATAAGGCAAAAAAGGAATTTTGTTCCCAATAAACATTGTCAAACACGCTAAGAAAGTATCTCATCCTGCCCCCTAACTTTCTGTACCAAAGCAAGAAGAGTTTACCTTCTGAAAGCATTTCAAGTTGATGTTTAAGACAAAAAAAGCCAAGTAAATCCCTAAGTAAAGGACTGGGAATCAGATTATTTTATACCTTTACATTAGCTCTGCGGAAGCTTCAGCTAACCATCTAGGGCTTAGAAAAGAACGTGATGGTAGTGGACCCCGATGCCAAGTGAATTCCACTAAGTGGTAAGATTCAAGTTTGGCCCTCAGATTCCCTGTGCAACCCAGAACTTAAAAAAAATGATACTAAAGGCAGTGTTCATCCCACGTTGATTCATGCTAAGCAATACCAAAAAAAAAATTGGATGGATTGTGTCCCCTGTCCTGCCGCACTCGGGCGATCAGACAACAGCAAATCTCTCTCTTCGCTCAGTCCTAACCTTAAAATTTAGTGCCAAAGCCCTGGCTTTTAGTAGCCAAAAAAGTATAGGTCTTTCTTTGAAAAGAAAATTAACAGCGCAGCTATAAAAAAAAAAAAAAAAATCTTTGTCCACATGTGAGATCTATCTGTGTTCTTCATATCAGATCCCAATCTCCCACTTTAAGAAAGTGTATTAGCCACAAAGCCATATGCCGTAGGAGAATATTTTCTCCCTTTGTTGAAATTACAACTGAGATCAACAAATTAACTTGACCAAACCAGAAATGGGAAGGAAGAAAGCCAGTATTGACCATGACTACAGCTTAATGTTTAGGGTGTTCTCCTGGGAAAGAAAATGTGGATTATGACTCATACCTTAGTGAATATTTTATATTATGATTCTGACCACAAAGAGAAAAGTCAGGTTTTGAGCTTTTCAAGTCACTGAATTAATCAACAGGTACAAGAAACACGTTCACACTCCTCTTCCCTTATCTCCAGGACTGCACTGGGCCAGGCAGGAATTTACTTGAATTGAACTTGCTCTTCATTTTTCCAAAGGCTTTCTAAAACTTACCTAATGTCATCATCTGTGACTATGAAAGCTTTGCAGAGGGGTTGGGATGTGTTAAGCCAGACGGCTGGGTTCTTCTCCACAGCTGCAGAGAGCTGCCCCGTGATCGGCGCGGAACTGGTGTGCAAAGCACTGGCAACAGCTGATAACAGGGTATCGTCGTTGTTACCCGGGCCAACTCCTAAGCCAAAGAGAAACCAACAGTTACCATTCACGTTTCATACGTGACTTCCAGTGGCAGAGCTCTCCTCAGCCTGTAAGGTCATGTACACTCATCATTGCCACTGGATTCAGGATTGGATAATCTGAACAGTTCAATGGGAGTTCTTAAAAATGGCTTTGGCACAGCACAGCTCTCACTGAAGCCTAAGTTGGCATTTCAAAAGGCATCTCGTTTCTAAAATTGATTTATTATTTTTTTTTTGCTAAACAGCAGCAATTACAATATCATCAAGTTTTTCAGCAAGTTGATCACATCATAAACAGTCACATATTGAAATAGTTTCTTTGCAGCTTCATGGTATTAATCCACAGAAGCACAGTCTTTGCTTCAGTGCTACAAGGTACTGAATTAATTCTGGAAAAGAAACACTGGAGATTTTTTGCAACACTCGAATTCCCACGAAAATCTCCCGAGCAGTGCAACAAAGCTACAAATTCTGAACAGTGACTTGAAGATATTTCAGATCAACTTTCACCAAGAAGAGCGTGGTTCTGAAGTGGGGGTTATATTAACGACATAAACGAGCTAAAAATAAACCTTGTTTTGGAGACGGAGGCATTTTGTCAGCAAGAACATGCACCATCTGAAGTCTACTTAATCTGACCGTAAACTGAAAACTTGTTAAGAGCATCAAAAGCTCCGTCCTTTTTAAACACCAATAACTTGGTGGAGCTGGAGCAACCGCAGGAAGTGAACACGATACCTTGGAGACCCTTCGGTAGCTCCATGGATTTTATGATCTGTTCGCTGACGTCCGACGCGCTGAGGCCTTGTAGCCTCTTCTCCCAGAAGAGCTGAAAAAGAGAAAACGAGATTGCTCAGTAGAAATCATTTTAAAAAGCCTAAAGCAGCTCATGGAAACAAACAGCATTCATGACCGAAACAGCATCAGAACAATAAAAGGCAGACAGTGCCTAACGGCTCACAAAACTGGGTTGGAAGGGACCTTAAAGATCAGCCAGTTCCAACCCCCCTGCCACGGGCAGGGACACCCTCCACTACACCAGGTTGCCCAAAGCCTCGTCCAACCTGGCCTGGAACACTTCCAGGGATGGGGCAGCCACAGCTTCTTTGGGAAACCTGTTCCAGTGCCTCACCACCCTCTGAGTGAAAAATTTCTTCCTTAGATCCAATCTAAATCTCCCCTCTTTCAGTTTAAATCCATTGCCCCTCGTCTTATCACCACATGCCCTTGTAAAAAGTCCCTCTCCAGCTTTTCTGTAGGCCCCCTTGAAGTTCTGGAACCTAACAGCCACGTAAGGTCCCAAAAGGTCATACCCACAGCAGGGCGGTTGGAACTAGACGATCTTTGAGGTCCCTTCCAACCCAAACCATTCTATGGTTCTATGATCCTATCTGCTGGTGGAATTCTAGTCCTCACGAACACGCTTGTATGGAATTCTGTGGCGTGCATTGAGACCCTGGAGCTGAGCTCTGGACGTCGCAGCAGCACAGTTGACCGACACTAACGCCAACCAGCAGCTATGTTGGTCATCCCTGGCAGTGTTCAAGGCCAGGTTGGATGAGGCTTTGGGCAACCTGGTGTAGTGGAGGGTGTCCCTGCCCATGGCAGGGGGGTTGGAACTAGATGATCTTTCAGGTCCCTTCCAACCCAAACCATTCCATGATTCTATGTCACTTCAAACCCGTGCTGACTTGATGACGTGGTCCTTTCTGACGCTGTATAGATCTCTTGACTCATCTGGAAACAGAATCAAACCTTTCCACTTTTAGGAAGACACATGAACTAAATTCACATTCATTTTACTTTCCTGCTGCTGCTTCATTTATTAGCTGGGAACATGTTTCCACTTCTCACGGAAATGAGTTTCTTGACCAAAGAGGTTTTTGTTTAATGATACAGATTTCCTTACTGACTCCTGTCTTACTGGTCCAAAGATTCATCCTGAACTCGTGAGACCCCACCTAGAATACTCTGTTCAGCTCTGGAGTCCCCAGCACAAGAAGGACATGGAGCTGCTGGAGCGGGGCCAGAGGAGGCCACGAAGATGATCCGAGGGCTGGAGCACCTCTGCTATGGAGACAGGCTGAGAGAGTTGGGGCTGTTCAGCCTGGAGAAGAGAAGGCTCCGGGGTGATCTTATAGCAGCTTTCCAGTACCTAAAGGGGCTACAGGAAAGCTGGAGAGGGGCTTTTGACAAGGGCGTGTAGTGACAGGACACGAGGCAATGGATTTAAACTGGAAGAGGGGAGATTTCGATTGGATATAAGGGAGAAATTTTTTACATTGATTGAGGGTGGTGAGGCACTGGAACAGGTTGCCCAGAGAAGCTGTGGCTGCCCCATCCCTGGAAGTGTTCCAGGCCAGGTTGGACGAGGCTTTGGGCAACCTGGTTTAGTGGAGGGTGTCCCTGCCCGTGGCAGGGGGGTTGGAACTGGCTGATCTTTAAGGTCCCTTCCAACCCAAACCATTCCGTGATTCTATGATTAGAATCATATGATTCTATGGTTCTAATTTCTGGGCTGCAGATTGGCCACACCTATTCTTTAAAACAAGCCTTTTCTATTTAGCAAGATAGTGATAAAAGCTAGTTAAAAAGTTGATTTCCATTCCACAGGGAGCTGCATTTAACCAATAATCTTAACAAAGAGGGAAGCAAGAACGTAGCTATGCAATTTCATGTGGAAATAGTTTGATCTTTCCGCAGACCCTGTGGGAGGGGAAAAAAAAAAAAAAGAAAATCTCTTTCTTTTCATGCCTCCAAAACCTGAGATGAAAAAACTAGACAAGCAGTTATTCTCATTCCTAGGAAATTCTTTGTTGCAGGTGGGTACCCAAAGCTTCAGCATAAGACAGGGCTTTCGAATGTCACGTTCTGTTCTAAAAGTGGAAGTGAAACAACTAGAGCATCCTCTTTCATCTTCTGGGCAACCTACTTTGCTAGTCACACTGCATCATAACTGAAAATAAACATTTTTTCAGTTCCAGAGGTAACAACGGCAAAGAAAACAGCAACAAAGAACATCTACCTTCGCATTGAGAGCATCCTACCGATTGAAAATAAAACATGCAGTTATGCTAAGAAAAATGCAACACTCTCCACAACATGTCTTCATAAATCAGTAGGTTGAATGATAGTTATGTTGCCTGGGAGATTACTATGTCATTTTATAGATACCTACTTCTTTAAGGGCTCTTCTTTGGACAAGAGGACACATCTGTCACCACGTTTAGATCTAAGAAGCTCAGAAAACCCACAGAGGATCACCTAAGCTCTTCCAATTTTTGCAAACTCTGACTACCTTTGACATGTTCCTGACACTCCCATGACTGACAGCTTTTTGAAAATACTCGTTACCATCTGTGTCTCATTTTACTAGAGCCACTTAAACTTCAAATGCTTCCAGTAAACTGAGCCCTCGCTCTTAACTAGTCTTTGTTTTCAACATTTCGACCCAGGTTTGAGCTATGTTGCTAGTTAAGTATCAGGGCACCTCTTTTATCTCGTTAAATGTTAAATATTTAGTACCTCCTGTCATTCATTCCTGCTGTTTACTGCTGTTGCCAAGCCCTCACCCCGAGAAAGCACTCTAGATGCCTTGTCGGAGCCCTCACGGCTCTGTGGATGAAGTGGCAGTGCCTTAAAGCTGTCTAGAACGTGAAAGAAATCCTTCATTAAAGAGGCAAAATCCATTTCATTGGCTTTTAGAGACAAACAAAAGGCTCCCAAACTCCAAATCCAAACTACGCTTTTATACGCTACAGGTAAATACAAGAACAGCCTCTGTTTATTCGGGATAAAATTAATTGGTCTATGGCAGCAAGTACATCACCAAATACCATCAAATATTACTGGATTTTTCATTTTTCAGTTCCCTACTCAAATCAACCCAGCACACATCACAGAGGGAACACAAAATCAGGAGAATGGTTTGGTTATGGAGGGTGTATAGGAATGCAGATACCTATGTGGGAGAGGAGAAGGACAACTAACACACAGGAAAGCTTGGAAGGTTTGGAAAGTGTAGTGAGATATTGATGGAGTGGAGCTTCCAACACCAGTACTCACTCAGCTCTCTAAGCCCTGACTTTGAACGCAGGAAAAAATCTATACAACTATCAACACCTCAGCTGACTTTGGGGTCAAAGTCAGGTAGAAAAAGCACTTGGTACTTAGACACATCTTCAAACAAGACTGAAGTGAAGGGTATTCCCAGCACAAAGCTTCCAGCACCATTATACACAATTGTTTGCAAACTACAATGACTGTGCTCCAAATTTTCATCTCCCCAGTTCTCTTTTGACACTGTACAAGTTACTCTTACTACTTTTTTCGCTCTTCATGAGAAATGAATCATATTCGTACAGTTTCATTATGAAGTTTGTTCTCTAACCCTTTATGGAATCATAGAATCATATAAGGGTTTGGGTTGGAAGTTACAGGGGGTGAAGCCCCTCTACTGCTACCAAAACCCCTTCGCATAAAGCCAGCACACTGACGTATCGACTCGTATTGGCCCTGAATCCAAAATTCCAATTATTTAGAAACATAGAACGGTTTGGGTTGGAAGGGACCTGAAAGATCATCCCATTCCAACCCCCCTGCCATGGGCAGGGACACCCTCCACTACACCAGGTTGCCCAAAGCCTCATCCAACCTGGCCTTGAAAACTTCCAGGGATAATGGGATTATGGGTACTTACGAGTCCACTCTGAACTGCTGTATCTTTTCCTGGGCCTTACAGAAGATGCTGAGCTGGACCAGACCTGGACAAGTATCTCCCTATCAGCTTTACCAGAAATAGCTATGAGGGACAGAGAGAAAGGGAAGGAAGCTGCTAATACAAATTCAGAAAAAGTTTTTCTGTTACTCCACTTACATGATAGAGATGCAACCATTCCACAGTGACAGAAGGACACATTCAAGTAACTGAAAAAGTCTTGGTGTAACCTCTGAGGTCACAGCCCTAAAAATAGCTTACATTATTTAACCTGCAACTCTCTCAGCATTACTGAGAGAGGGAATAGAAAAAGAGAAAAATAAAGCTCAGGTTCACAGGCTTTGTGCCCTGCTAAGCAGAGAAATAGGCACCTAAATTAGGAGCAATTCCAAAAAATCCCATCTAGTTTAACAGTTAGGCATGAGCACCTGTAGACCACGGTGTAGGCAGACTGTCCCTTTGGCATTCATCTCCTGCCCAACGCCATCTGGACTTCCTAAACCGAGGGACAGCCCCTCTGGCAGCACAAGAGTCGGCGGATACAGCCACTTAAATCCAAGAAATTATTAAATCCAGCAACAGAGGCCACCTTCTGCGTAAAAACCTGACATCATCTCGCAATTAGAGGTCTCCTTGTAAAACGAAGCCAGATATCCAGACTCCGGGCTTTTCTCAGCTTGAGTACCCTGGAGAGTAGCGTAATCCCTGAAGCACAAGGCAGGCTGATGCAGTCCAATCCTTCCTCCTGCTGGGAATGCACCAGGACGGCCAGAAAAACAAGATTCGTGCCTCCAGGAAAGAAGCATTAGCAAACATGAGTCCCTCTTACTCAGTAATGAGAATCTTGATGGGATCAGGACAGGAAGGAACAAGAGAAGAGTCGGATTTCAAGATTCATGGTTGTTACAATGTGATGTTTCATTACTGATGCAAAAAATGAATAATCATTCTGAGGTTTCATCAGGCAGTTATGGGTATTTATCCTGTTGGAGGATGAAAAATGGCTCTATTTCACTTTTGCTTGAGGTAGTGGTTAGGGAAAACACACGGAAAAGAGCCTAAACCCCAGGTCCTTCATTTACTGATGTCTGAACATTCTAGATTCAGAAAGG